TTTTATATAACAGACTGTGTGAACCCATGTAGCTTTCATATTTCACTATTTTTAATACTTTTCTGTAAGAGGGACACACCCAGTTTTAAGGCTTATTGCAAGATAAGCCCTAGAGGGCAAATTCATTCTTACTCCCCCACGCATCCCCATGTCTTCACACACATAAGGAATTATTATTTTAAACATTATTCACTTTGATAGGTGAAAACTGATGTCTTAATTCAGAAAGAATTTTTTTCATGTCTGGTTTTATCTATGAAAAGTTTCTTAATATTAAAGTTTTTGGAAACAAAAATGTGGAAAGCAGAAAGAACCACTCCCAGTCTTCCAAACAAATTGCACGGTTAAATAATTCATGCAGACAAATGGACACAGCATAGACGAGAATGGTCAGAGGTCCACTCCGGAAACCGTGTTTCCTGGATCCCACGCAGGGGAATCGAGTATCTTTACCTTGTGCCCTGCATAACACCAGTGCTGCCAAGAACCAAATCAGTTGGAAGGTAGACAGATGACAGACGAGCCTTCTGAACACCTGAAGACAGAGAGCAAGCACAGAAATGGGCATTTGAATGTGGACAAAGCTAAGAGAGCTTCAATCTAATCGCTGTATCAGGAAAAACTGCAGCTAAAGTTTTAACCACTGGAAGCCTTTGGTTTTGTGGAAGCAGAACCAGGGACTATAAATGGAAGAAATAACAAAGGCTGCTTAGGGTGGGATGGGAAAAGCAGCCATGTGGTTCTTTCATTATGGCCATTCCTAGCAATTTGAGGCCATGCTCCCAAAGCCACCATTGTCAAGACTGATGAGAAAACAAACTGCCAAAAATATATCCAGAAAACACAGACTGCAAATGTTGAAGAAAATTTACTCCCCAAATAATCCACATCTGTTAATATTAAAAATGTAACTCAGGTGTAACCACTTTGCAGAATATGCCTTGATCCTTGCTGAGGGAGGTTTTCCTGCAAATTCTGCACAATTTATGTAAATTGTACCTTTTAAAACCAGTATTTGGCTTTTTTTCTTCCCCCTTGCTTTATTTTCATGTGTCTGGGCAGAAATCCTTGGCCTTGTAGGTTGTTTTTGTTTTGTTTTGTTTTTTTTTAACAAATCATTGTGGTATTTAACAGAGTATTACTCTGGGAATCATTTTGCTATAAAATGAAGAGTGGAATGGAGACAGATTACTCTGCAGCAGTCAGCATCCTACTAAACTCCCCACTCCTGGGCCCAGGCACAGGGCAAACTTCTCAGGACACAAACCAATGCTAATCAGTCTCTCTTTGCTCTCCCAGCCAAGGGTCAGAAAAGCTGCTTCCTCCATCACCTTGTATTCGTCCCATCAGCTTTTTCTGGGATGAATGCCTATCCTTGGTCTTTCATCATTTAGGCCTTTAAAACTCAAATGCTTAGGCTCTTGTTATTTCAAAACTTTGGCTTCTGAAACCAGAAGTTTTCTTTGGCATTCTGATTCCACACCATCACGCTACATGGAAATCCAGGTTCTAGTAAAGGCTGTGATGAGGAATGCAAATAGTTTAGCTCTCAGAGTAAAAATCTGTATTTTAGGATAAAAGAAAAAGCACACACACACCAAAACACAAGATGTGGGAACTGGGAGACAGTAACATTTAGGAAACAGAAGCACAGTGATTGAGGTGAAAAGAATTAGAAAGAAAGCCTTGCTATTAATTAGGCACACATTTCTTCTGGCTAATTTGAATTCAGGTTAGCACAAATACTAGGTGTGTAAGCTTAGACAAATCATTTTACCTCTTGGAGATACAGGAAAAAATTAATAGTACCAATCTTCTCTGTTAAAAAGGTTAAATGAGATAGTATATGTAAAGCTCCTATAAAGTGATTGATAAAAATAAACACTAAATCAATGTAGCTGTTACCTCATTAGGTTACTGCCTGTATCTCACTATTTGCTGAATCCAGGGTAGGCAAGACGTGAGTGGGGAAGCTGAAAGAAGATACAAAGACCACAGGACTGCAGACATTCCTCATCCTGCGTGCAAGGCAGACAGGCTTCACTCTCTAATGGCTGACATGGCAGCAACAATGACCACGCAACTCAGGGCAACTCACTTCACCCTGAGTCTCCTCCAGCTTTTCAGGTGGTGCTTATCTAGGGCCACTGTGATGCGTGAGCGCAGTGCCACAAATGGCCCCAGCTTAGGATTTGGGTGGAGTGAGCCGAGAGCCTGATCCCTGCCACCTGGCCAGTTGTTCACTCCCTACTAGATTCCACCCCTTCAGGGTCCCTCGCCACACAATCTACGCGCCCATCTTCCACGATATTCCCTTGGCGAGCAACCGCCACAGGGGCAACTCCGCCCCTGAGGATTTTCTCATTTAGGACCCACAAAACTCCCCCACAGGTGCCGGGCCCACCCCTTCAAAGGGGATCTTTGGGGGTGTTCACAGCCCACCAACGTGATTACACTTTTCTAAATCTGAGGACATAGCCTGTACAGTACACTGTTAGCACATCATAGGACACAGCCTTTACAGGACGCTGTTCTAAATCTACATCAAAAGACATCGCCTTTACAGTACACGGGCCTCTGTATCTCAGGGTCATAACCCATATCATCAGCTCATGTAACCACCCGAATCTCTTGCCATAGGTGCTTATACTGCTGCTCTGGTCTCAACTGCCCAAGGGGCCTTGCTAGTAACTGGGGACCGGCATCACGGCACTATCCACATTCACCTTCAGGGCAGTCAGGAAAAGTTGCCCCCCGGTGTCAGCAGCCGTCCATGCCACCTTGTCCGGCAAATGGGAACTCACCTCCTGTAACACCTTTGCAGTGCTAGCAGGTGAACCATCCACCACTTCCCTGCTGACTTCTTCTGGGGAGCCTCAGGCTGCTCTACCTGCTGCGTATCCTGCCAACTATACCAGTTGTCTCACTGCATCTCACTGATCATTGAACCCAGTGTAGGCAAGGCAAAAGTACAGAAGCTGGAAGAAGCTGCAAGGAGTCACAGGAATCGCAGACATTCTTTATTCACCACGGCAAGGTAGACATGCTTTACTCTCTAATGGCCGGCACAGCAGCAGTCGCCAACATTTGACTCAACTTGACTCTCCTGGAGCTTTTTAGGCGGTGCTTATATAGGACCACACCATGCTGCATGTGTGCAGTACCACAAATGACCCCAGCTGTGGGACGTGAGTAGAGTTGGGTGAGAGAGCCTGACCACCGCCACCTGGCCAATTGCTCTCTCCCTAACGTTACTGAGAATTAATTAAGCATTTAAAGTACTTAATACAGTGCTTCAGATATGGTAAATGCCAGTATGTGTTACATAGCTTAAAAAATTCATTAATCAGATCACACAATAATGGAAGTAGAGAAGTCCACTTATAACCCTTGCCAAGAGGGCCAGAGTCCAGAGACCTGGGTCTTACCTGACAGCAGTCCATCTGGCAGCTACGCTGCCCCTCCCCTGAAAATGTGTAGGTTCAAATCCTGAAGCTGCCACAGTCATATGGACTTGGAAAAATTTACCTGTCTGCCTGTTTCTTTATTTGTAAAACTGGGTAATAACTCCTTCTTTGAAGGACAGGGGTGAAGATTAAGAGCACCTGGCACTCAGTAAACACTAGCTGGGAGGCCACCATTCTTTGTTAAGGAAGGCAATGAAATAACTGGCTGTGTAGTCTAGCCAATAAACCATATGCAAAAAAATTACCTTGAGGCATTACTTGCATTTAGATTTTTTAATTATTATTTTATATCAGTTACTAATGTAAATGAAAATCCTCTCCTTCCTTCATTTTGTCATGTACCTAGATCCTGGATAACAAAATGCCTATCTCTCACGGATACCCTGGGTTTTAACTCTGATTTATCCAATCCTTTTGGCTTCCCATGGCAAAGGCCCAGAGGATGCAGAAAGAGGCTGGAGCATCACAGAGGAACCGGCCTGATACTGAAATTCTGCAAACCCAGCCCAGATTTCAGGACCAAAATGGAGCCAATAACAGCACCCTCTATCCACGCAGCCAGGGTCCGCCTCCAGGCCCATTTCCTCTCAAAGGATGTCAGTGAGCGGAGAAAGCGTCTCCAGAGCCTGCACCTGGCAGCACCCTGTTTTCAGTGTACCGCGACGGCTGATCGCAACCCCAGGAATGGAGATACGGCCTATACACCCCGCTTTGGAAGGCAAGATCCGCTTCTCTGCAAGGTTCAGAACTGAGAGGAAAGCGCAAGCAGGAATTCCAGCTCTGAATCAAAGAGGGGAAACCCGCAGCCTAGCTTCGCAGCCCGCCACCGCCCCGGGGCCACCGGAGAGGAGTCGCCCACCCTGAGCCCTCTTTTCCACGCCTGGCCCAGCTCACCAGACACTCCATCCTCGCTCCTGGCCGCGCAGGTTATTTGGTTGCTGCTGGGAAGCCTGGAGGGATCTCACACCGGACCAGGGAGAGCCCCTCCAGTTCCGCGGAGCAAAGATGCTTGCTCCCCGCGGATTCGCTGCTTAACTCCTCCTCCTCCGCCCCGGCTCAGGCCCCGCCCCCTACTCCTCTACCCGCCTACCCTACCCCGCAACGCAGAGGCGTAAAAGGGGATTAAATAGTACTCATCTTTTCCTGTCTTCAAAGCATTTCGCCGTTTTCAGAGGCTGCAACTGGGAAGACTGACCAAGTGTTTGGAAAAAGATACCTTGTTTCCAGTTTCATTATACAGACAAAGAAAGGGAAAGGAGGAGGTGGGAAGACATGAATTGCCTCACTGCGTGGTGCTTGGAGGAATGGCAGGCTGCATTGTGAACCACGCAAGTTACGAAATGATTTTTGAGAAATGTTACAGTTTCCCCAGTTACCATCCTGGAAAATCCAAGTATTTTGAAGCTGAATTTAACCAACAGACAATTTGCAAAGCAAATGTGTATTTATTTTTATCCAGAATCAAATTATATATTTAAACCATCAGTGCTGTTATGATCTCTCCTTTATTGATGTGACTGGATTTTTTTTTTCCTCTGCTGTGAGAGATTTTCTTCCACTTGCATTGATGATGAGGATATTTCTTATTTTAACAAGTTTTGGAGTTCTTGGCTCTTCAAACAAACAAACAAAAGACAGATCAATGAAGTGTTCAATTCCTATAGCCTTTTCTGTTTTCCCGACCACCAACCCTGACCACCACACCTACGACAAGGTATTGGGACAGAGCTTCTATTATACCCAAGGCTGCAAATTCCAGGGCAGTAAATAAAATAATTACTGATTTTTTTTTTTCCTAGAAAAACAAACTCTGGAAGGACTAAAATATTCACGGAGCGGCAAACAAGATACATAAGAGAAAGCTGCTGCTGCTAAGTCACGTCAGTCGTGTCCGACTCTGTGCGACCCCACAGACGCCAGCCCACCAGGCTCCCGTCCCTGGGATTCTCCAGGCAAGAACACTGGAGTGGGCTGCCATTTCCTTCTCCAGTGCATGAAAGTGAAAAGTGAAAGTGAAGTAGCTCAGTCGTGTCCAACTCCTAGCAACCCCATGGACAAGGCAAGAACACTGGAGTGGGCTGCCATTTCCTTCTCCAGTGCATGAAAGTGAAAAGTGAAAGTGAAGTAGCTCAGTCGTGTCCGACTCCTAGCAACCCCATGGACTGCAGCCGGCCAGGCTCCTCCGTCCATGGGATTTTCCAGGCAAGAGTACTGGAGTGGGGTGCCATTGCCTTCTCCTAAGAGAAAGCTAACATATAGCAAAATTAAAGGTCAAATTTAGGGAACTTAAAGAAAACTCTTAAAGCTTCAAATATGACAAATAGAGACACCAAGAAAAAGAATCAAAGTGACTTTAAATGTCACAAAGCACTGCTGGATGCAAGAAGGCAATGAGTTAACTTTCAAAATATGGAAGAAAAAAATAACTTTGAACTCTACTTTGTCTTTTATAACTACTGCTAAAAATATATTATTTTTTTAAATACTTTAAATTTTTTGATTAAATGAGTGGTTCACAGGGTGAAATGCATACATCATCAATTCAGTTCACTCACTCAGTCGTGTCTGACTCTTTGAGACCCCATGAATAGCAGCACGCCAGGCCTCCCTGTCCATCACCAACTCCCGGAGTTTACTCAGACTCATGCCTATCGAGTCGGTGATGCCATCCAGCCATCTCATCCTCTGT